GCTGAGGAGGAACACCACCGTCTGCGAAAGTATCTGGTCGCATCGGATCTGAGTGACGAATCGACACATGCCCTCGAATGGGCCATTGGAACGGTCCTACGAGACGGCGATACCTTGATATGCATCTACTGCGTGGACGAGGAGACCGGCATCGGTGGGGTCGACAACTCGATTCCCGATGATCCGAAGGCTATGAGAGAGCAAGCAGCTGCTATCAACACGGTAGCAAACTCGAGATCTGCTGCGCCCTCCATGTCTGCTGTTCCAGATTTCGTGAGGAACTCTATTCGAGGAGACTCCTCCAAGAACAACACCCCAAACACGTCTCCCGCGCCTTCAAGTCGAGGAGAAAGGGGTAGGGCGGAAGAAGAGCGGCGGCGAGCAGTCAAGGAGATTACAGACAAAGTGCTCCGTCTTCTGCGAAAGACGACTCTTCAGGTCAGAGTTATCGTGGAAGTCTTGCATTGCAAGAACCCAAAGCACTTGATCACAGAGGTCATCGACCATGTTAACCCAACTCTTGTCGTCATAGGAAGTCGAGGCAGGAGTGCACTCAAAGGGTACGTTAAATTAAGCGACGTTTCCACCATCGAGGCAATGGCAGCAGCTAACAGTAGACAGTGTCATTCTGGGATCATTTTCCAACTATCTGGTGACGAAGAGCTCGGTCCCTGTGATGGTGGCACGAAAGCGTCTCCGAAAGCAGGGCAAATACAGGGGCGTGAAGCCTGTGAACAATCTCAGTAACCCAGCAGCCCGAAGTTTGGCCAATGCTAAGATTGATTGAGCGAAAGAATCACGTCGAGGAGAAATCTGGTTCGTTATGGAGAGGCACATGCATGGGAAATGCTCTACGAGGCTTCATGATTTGTTATGCTAGGTTCAAGCGGCGCAAGGATTAGCAGTTTATCCTTAGAAACGGGCTTTGTTAAACATTAGGTAGTTGGCGCAAACCTGGTGATTGAAGGCGGAGGCGGAAGCGGAACCATAAACAGAAGTTGAAAGGATTCAAGATATTTTTGGGTAGAAACCGCTCGTTAGTTTATTATCGGTAGAAACAATCCAGATTATGAGTTTAAAATCGCAATGTGGTCTTTGTATCCGTACAGCTGTGAAGAGTTGCATGAACCCATGGGGTTGGTTTCAGTGTCTTAAGTGACATCACGTGTTATCTATTAATATACGTCTATGTTTATTCCCATCACCCAATTCGACTCATGCATTTATAGGATTTAAGCTTGCACTCTTTTGAACCAGCGCTGGCGTTCTCGCGTTGACTTGAAATATCTGACCGTTTTTTTCGCATCTGCCCAACCTCTCATTAGGTATGCCTCGGAGGAATGAACAGAAACAGAGCAGAACCAACGGCAGCTTACTACAGTATCTTATTCATACGAGATTCGCCACAGGGATTCTGACACATTTCATTGGTCTCTCAACCCGTAACCCTAGGGAATTTAAGCCTGTGACTCGCTTGAGCTTCGCCTCGTATGGCCCTGAACTGGGCCTAGACTAGGCCTTCTCTCGCGTCTCGCCTGGACCAACAGCCAACACGACCAACTGAGCAGCAGGAGGCTGAACTGAAACGACCCTTAACTACGGACGGACACTGACACAGGCTCGAGAGGCAGTAGAGCATGAAAGTGCTCCACCACAATTATCACCTCTTTATGGCTTGACGATCTTGATATTTGTCTGCCTACCAATCTGACTTGTCTGTCCTATTTTTTATTTTCCTGTCTCGCTTTCTGATCCGCAAGCAATTATGAGACTTCTCAATACCAAGACGCTACAGCTTGAGAGCTTAGAAGAGGGGTCCGAAAAATACGCCATCCTGTCTCATACGTGGGGTACAGATGAGGTCCTTTTCGGTGACATACAGGATCCCACGCGCATGGAAGAGATTCGCAAGAAGAATGGTGTAGGTTACCGCAAGATAGTGCAGTCCTGCGAAAAGGCTCTCAGCCGCGGCCTCAACTATCTCTGGATCGATACTTGCTGCATCGACAAGTCCAGTAGCGCTGAGCTCTCAGAAGCCATCAATTCTATGTTTCGCTGGTACAACAACGCGGACATATGCTATGTCTACCTCACAGATGTCTTTCTACACGCCGTAGGCATCGGATTGACGTCTGGTCTGAAGCAGAGTCGTTGGTTCACACGCGGATGGACACTCCAGGAGCTGCTCGCGCCTGATGAGGTGGAATTCTTCGATCACAATTGGACGCCCATCGGCGACCGACATTCTTTGGCTTCGACAATCAAGGAGATTACAGATATTGATGAATCGTTTTTGGTCAGGCCCGACGGGAAAAAGGATCGCAAGATATCGGTCAAGCTCCAGCGTGAAAACTTGGCCACAAGGATGGGCTGGATGGCCCACAGGGAAACAACCCGAGCTGAAGATATAGCGTACTCTTTGCTTGGAATTTTTGGAATCAACATGCCCATATTATATGGCGAGGGCTCCAGGGCCTTTCTGAGATTGCAGGAAGAAGTTCTCAAAAAGTCGCAGGATCAGTCTATACTTGTCTGGAGATGGCCCTTGTCTCGGAAGCCTGAGGAGAATACCCACCGAATGCATTTCCTCGCTGACAGCCCAGCCAACTTTAACCTCCGCACATATGCAGGACAAGAGGACTCGGGCTTGTTTAGTGTCAGGTTGACAGATCAAGGGCTGGTCCTTCGAGTGTGGAAGTGTCCGTGCAAACTGACGCGTTGGAACCATGACAAGACGGAACTCAAGGAAGCCGATGATCGATGGTTGGCCGTCCTCGACTGCAGTCTGTCTCCGGATACTCTTTCCAGACCAGCTATAATTCTCAGTGAGAGTCCTTATGCTGAAGGTGCTTTTCGACGAGACCCTACGAGCGTGATCATGGTGATAGAACATGATCAGAATAAGTCCGGGTATTTGGATACCGGTGGTGATAGAAACGGTGAGCAATGGCCAACAATAGTGTTTTCGTGTGGATATCAGACTGACCGCCTTAGCAATATATTCCATTGAATACAAACCTGAATTCAAGACGGAGACAATTCTGCTTGAGTCGGATTCTATCGAGCCAGATGCTCGTCTGCGAGGAAGCTTTCCCTTCAAGGTCAACATGACTCTCAAAGACCGCGAGCTTAAGCAGCGTGCGGCTTATACCGGATCTCAGCGATATATCGTGGCCGGCAAGCTCGCCAACAAACCAACACAAAACCCCATATACGGAGTTTTATTTCTTGGAGCTGACGATAAGGACACCGAGCTCGTGGTATGGTGGGGTCTAATAGAAGAGGGCACAGCCATGTACGACGTACATAATCGCCACAATGGCCCTCGAGTCTGGAGTAACAGTGTTCCAGTGTGTTTCGCCCAGTCGTGGAAAAACCTCACGGGCTCAGAGACTTGGGATGCCAAGCTCGCGGAGTCGCTGGCTGTGGATATGCTCTGTGAGGAATTTCCCCTTCCGTGGAAGGGAACGGAGAGGCCTTCGGTGGTAGAGGTGGAAGACGGCTTGAATCTGCAGAACGCCCTCAACGATCAGAAGCCAATGGCGACAGAAACGGTGATCGAGCTGTTCACCCAGTGTGCCCAGCCAGTAATTGAGTGCATCGGCTGGGGTATGAGGCTCAAGGCGTCAATGAGAAGGATGGAGTTTTTGGGACGGCTGTGCTGTGAGTTGGCCATCGAAGAGAAGAACCCCAATGTCGAGAACGATGCTGGAAACTATGCATAGGTAGACATGGTGGCTGTATCTATAGGCTGACATAGCTTTGTATGAGCATGAGATGATTGTATATCAGAAGAAAAGGATGGCGGTAGTTATTAGTGAAGATAGACAGGCTACAGTTCATATGCATGATGGTTATATAAACTCTAGGAACCGTTGCAGCCTAAACTTTGGGGAGAATAACACGCTATGAGTTGAGCATCAGGCATCTTTGTAGTGATTCTGGGCCTCTCATCACTGTAGATACCATGGCCTCATCCCTTCCGCTTCATCCGTCATTGCATCTTGGCCTACATCAAGACCAAAGACACAGACCAGGTCCACTTTTGTAACAAATGGCCCACAATCAACAACAAAGCGTTGCCAGCGTATCAAGAGCGTGAGCGTCGAGTCATAATTGCGGTGTTATTGGTCCTCGTGCCCAAAAACAACACGGTCGCGATGCCCTGTGAATGATGACGGAATTTGCCTCCATAACAGACAGACACGTTATAGAGTCGTGAATACGTCTCAGTTTCGTGTAGTGGATCACCTTATAAAGGGAATAAATAGTCTTATCTCTCAGGATCAATAAACAAAGAGCACCATGTGACCGTCGCGTGTTAAGCCTAAGGCGCGTTAAGTGCTTCCGAAACAAGACTAGTGCGGGGGGCTCGAGAAGTGGTCTTGTTCTGCACGGTTGGCGGGCTTGATTGGATGTTATGCGTTGTCTAGGGGGGAAGGAGGGCCCAGCCTCGTTGATTTTGGGTCTTGGGGGGGAAGTTGCGGATGAATATGTGAGTAAAGGCAAGAGCGAGTGAGTGAGTGAGTGAGGTGCATCAGTTATTGTCTTAGTAAATGTCAGGTAGTAACTGAATAACCATTTGTGTTTCATGTCTAACTTCCTTCCTTCCTGCTCTTCAACTTTCATCCTTCCTTTCCCCTTCTCATCCACATTCCCAGGCTGCTCAGTCGGTCAAGGCACCTGCGGCCCCATCCTTCTTTCTTTCTCTCTTCTATCCATATACCTACACTCAAATATTACCTTACCCTTGCACAAGGAAGTTTGGAATATCGTTCCTGAGCTTCTATTTGCCCCTTCTATCTCCTCTCTACAGTAACCATCCATCCAATCATCATTCCATACCATACCATACCATATCAAACAATCGATACTCATTAACCTCAAGACTTCACAACCGTTTTTGTCATAACCCACTCACATTATCTTATTCAAGGTCAATTCAGGTCAATTCAGTGGCAGAGAAAGCCGTATATCACTATCACTCAGCTATCGTCTCTATGACTTCCTTCTTCACAGTCAACAACAACGTCTCGCTCGTCAGCATCACTATTGCTCCAAGCACGTATCTTATCACTGTTGCTCTGCTTCTTCTCTTTGCCATTATTTACGTCCCCCGTCTTTTGGCTTGCCGATTTCCTAATCTGGGCATACCGTTGCCATCGCTGGCTTCAATATTAAGGCCAATACTTGGAGACCCAACAGGCAGTCAAAGACAGCCAACCAAACCTGAAAAGGCTCTCCCGGAGCCACCATATGCCGCCACTGGACTTGTATTCGAGGATCAGCAGCAACTTGTCATCTCTGGGCAGGATATCGTCCTTGCGCAGCGCCGCCATTACCTCCAACAACAACAACTAGCTCAACAACAGCGACTTCTCCTCGAGAAGCAAAAACAACTTGAGTTTCAACAAGTAGAATATCGTCGTCGTCGGGATTCACACCAGGACTCATCGCCATCAAAAAGACCTACCGACAATGGATCCCCTCGAAGGTCTAGACGCCAGCTTACAGGACTTCGATCTCCCACCAAGTCCATCGCTGCCCCATCACTCAGCTCACCGCAGCGAAGCAGCAATGACAGAAGGGGATCTCGAGGAGTCGGAGACCGCTTCCGCGAGTGGGTACTCACCGCCGGCGTGGCGAAGGCTGGGAAACGGAGATCGGAGTAGTGGCTTCTGGAGAGCATCTCAGGACTTTATGCACCGAGGGATGAGCACGCTCAGGGAAAGTTCCCCTGAACTGGATGACAGTGAAGACGATGGCGTCCTAGAGAGAGCCATTCAGACAAGGCTGCCCAGAGGGAGCCAGAGTCCAGGCAAAGGCAGGAGTATGAGCCCTGAGAAAACGGATGACCCCACGATTCAGTTTCAGCTCCACGAGAAGACAAGTCCTTCAGGAGAGCTGAGATTGCACGAAGCGACACCAGATAACTGTAGGTGAAGTTGTGGCCAGATCCCAGATACATACCCTATCTAATACATGTCAGACATCCGCTTTGCCGTCCGTGCCGAAGTTCAGCATCGCACTGAACCTATTGAGACAGCCATCAACTTCATACGTGATCACTACAAAGCTCTTACTAGGACATGGTCAACAACTTTCACCACCATCATCATTGCCTTCTTCTCTGTCTCCATCTTCAAGTCTCTCTTGCAGCCCGCTGCCCCACGTCCAGTTGGCGATCTTGTGAAAGTTGCAGGACTAGCTCGGTCATTCGAACCCCTCATCTATTACTCTGAGCATGCCGTCTCCCAAGTACATGATCTACAGGCGACCAGCGTTGCTGTCTGGGATCTTGGTGAGAGTGTGCGTACAAGTGATATGCGCGATGCTCCTAGAATCGTGGCAGACCTAGATGCTCTCAGTGAGACTATGAAGACCTTGGCCATTGAGATGACCAAATTCTTTGCTAGAGTCGATGGTGATATTGATGGGTAAGTCCTTAGTTGGAAATTATCTTGACCATTCTAACATCTCGCAGCATTCTCAACGTCATGGATTGGGCCAAAATGCACCTCAACCGCCTCAAATCATCCCCTTCCCCTTCAACTATCTCCTCAGCCTACGACAACATTCATAATCTTCTCTCCCAAGCACATGTCCTTGAGGATGCCTCCGGCTCTCCTACCACCCTTGGTCGCTTGGCCAGCCACATATTTGGCCTCTCGAATCCGCAAAGGGAGCAACGCATGGTGCAGCTCCTCTTCACCGAATTTCTTTCTGTCCTTGAAGACTCAATCCAAGCTGAGCTACAACATAGCGTCACCCTATTCGCCCTTTTTGAAGCTGTGGATCATCACTTCCTGAATCTTGCCCGCACTGTTGTTCGCGAATCGTCTGCTCAGGAAGAACTTCATGCCGATATGCTTTCGAGCCTCTGGACACGACTCCTTGGTACAAGAGCAGCTGAATTACGTAAATTTGAACAGAATCGTCTGTTGTTACGTGATGTCCGGGACAAGACAGTGCGCAATAAAGGCATTCTTGTTGAACACAACGGCAAACTTTTGACTTTGAAAGCGTCCCTAGAAACTCTTCGCAGCAAACTCGTCTCGCCTCTTGTTCGCGGTGTCAACTCTACAACACTCACATTAGAGGATCAGATTCATGGTCTTAGCGATGTGAGCGATTACCTCGGGGATGTCAGAAAACAGCAGAAGGGTAAAGTCATGGAGACTCTGTTTGGTAGCGTACCCAGCAAAAAGTATGCAATCGAAGACAGGCCCGGCACTGTTGTCGTAAATCCCCTCTGAGGACGCACGAATTCTTTGAGACCCTAAACTACATGTTGGGTTTCTCTAATGCTAGGTTTCCCTTCCGACTTTGGAATGCAGTCACTTATCAAGCGTGTCTTGTATACCATTCGGTCTGAAGGATCTAGGCCCCTTGTCCTGGCAGGATGAGGCTGCTGGAATATGATTGTCCAACAAACCTTTGGATTTCACTGCTCTGTAGGTACAGGACAGGAATTTTGTTTGGGCGTTGGGTAAATCTACACTGACATGGTTCATTGCATATAACGGATAGCCTCTACTTTATACCTCTTAGTTTCAATTTACAAGTTAGCATTTTTACGATACGTACATGTACAAGGCATCACATTGGACCGATGTTTCTTTCTCACGATGGCGGGACACACATATAATAGTAACTTAAACATGTCTCTTTCATTAGAAACCCTAACCGTATAAAACCTCTGCGTTGATCATGCCTGCAAACGAGGACCATTGGTAGGGGGTATAGGCCAACAGCCAGAGTGTCAGAAAACCGTCAACGCCGTCCTGGTGGGTTCTCCCGAAAGCGCCGACGCCGTTGCTGTGAGCAAGCGACGGTTCGCGACGAGAGCCAGCCACCGTAAAATCCCCAAACTTTTGAAATCTCCCTTCCTGAGAAGAAATAACAACCAAGTCTATCTGTACATAATGCGCCCCCTCGGGTTGGGTAACACAAGGTCGTAAAGCATGTTTCGTTGCTGATTGTTCCATAAATTGCCTTGTAGAGGCATTCGTCGTTCCATTTGAGGGGGTTGCCCAGTCAGATAAGCATGAAAAAAAAAAAAGAAAATGATAGAATTTTGATGAAATTGGAAAATGGCTTAAGCCTTGGTCTCTTCCTCCTTCTTAGGCTCACCGCTCTCGCTACCCTGGGCCTTGACGTACTCGTCATAGACAGCCAGGGCCTCGTCGACCTTGGCCTTGAGAGCGGCATCGTCCTCGATACTGTGATGACTGTTAGAGTCTGGTCATGGTTTGTGGGAAAGTAGATAAACTTACAGGTTGACAAGCTCGGTGTTATCCATCTCTAGAAGCATACCGGTGATCTTGCCAGCAAGCTCACCGTTAATGGCTTGGATCTTGGGGAAGATCAGCTCACCGAGGATCTGCTTCTGCTGAGCGGGAGGAGCGGCAGCAAGCTGCTGCTGGAGCACATTAGGGCCGGCACCCTCGGCAGCACGACCTCCTTGAGGTGCGTTGCCGTTACGTCCAGGTCCGCCTCGGCCACCCTGCTGGCGGTTGTTAGGAGGGAATCCAGCCATACCGCCAGGCATGGGAGGACCACCGGGCATGTTCTGAGGACCACCACGACCGCCCTGAGGAGCGCCACGGCCTCCAAGAGCGGCTTGCTGGGCCTGCATAGCAGCCATGAACTGAGGAGTACCAGGCTGGCCAAACTGGGGAGGGAACTGGCTAGGCATGCCGTACATGTTGGGAGGCATCTGCTGAGGAACACCACCACGGCCACCCTGCTGAGGGTAGCCAGGGAACTGACCGGGACGACCACCCTGAACACCAGGCATTCCCATACCAGGCTGAGGGAAAGGAACACCACGACCACCCTGAGGCATGAAGCCGGGCTGCTGGCCAGGAGCAAAGTAAACAGGGGGTTGCATGTACTGCTGGGGCATACCGGCGGCGGCGGCGGCCTGCTGCATACGGAGTTGGTTGCGAGCTTGGATGCTAGCCTCAAGCTGGCTCTTTCGAACATCCTTGCGCTGGGCCAGAGCGACGTACAGAGGCTTGTTGTTAATCATACGCTGGTTCATCTCAGCGACAGCCTTGGTAGCATCGTCGGGGTTGCTGAAGCAGACGAATCCGAAGCCCTTGCTCTTACCGAGCTTCTTGTCCGACTTCTTCTCAGTCTTCTTATCATCTTTAGCCTCCTCGCCCTCCTTGGTCTCCTCGTTAGCCTCTTCCTTGGCTTCTTCATTGTTCTCCTTGTCCTTGTCATCCTGAGCCTCCTCCTTCTTGTCCTCATCACCCTCAGTGGGGGTCTCACGCATCACCTTGGCAGAGGTAATAGGACCGAACTCGGAGAACATCTGGCGGAGCTTATCATCGTCAACATCGTCATCGAGGTTCTTGATGTAGAGGTTAACGCCCTGGTACTTGTTGGCCTTCTCCAGGCGAGCAGCCTCATAAGACTTGCGGAGCTCCTCCTCGCGCTCGTGCTTCTTCTGGGCGCGGCCAACGTACAGATCCTGGCCATGGAAATCGTTGCCGTTGAGGTCGTCAACAGCCTTGGAGGCACTCTCGTGAGTGGTGAAGTTGACAAAACCGAAACCTCGGCTCTTGCCCTCCTGATCACGAGCGAGGGATGAAGAGGTGACGTCACCAAACTTCTCAAAGAGCTCACGGAAATCATCCTCAGTAACGTCAGGGGCAATGTTCTTGACGTAGACGTTAGTGAAGTTGGCCTTCATCTCCTCAAACTTGCTCTGGCGGTCCTTCTTGGGGATATGGTGGCCGACATAAACCTTCTTCTCGTTGAGAAGCATGCCGTTGACATGCTTGATAGCCTGGGAGGCAGCCTCATCGGTCTCGTAGTGAACGAAACCATAGCCCTTGGAGTTGCCATTCTCGTCCTGGGCGACCTTGCAGCTCAGAATGTTACCAAAGGCAGCGAAGGTGTCGTGGAGAGCCTTGTTGTCAATAGCGACATCAAGGTTCTTGATGAAAACATTGCCCTGGCCGTTCTTGCGAAGAGCAGGGTCACGCTGAGACCACATGATGCGGCAGGGGCGTCCCTTGATCAGGGTGTAGTTGAGCTCCTCAAGAGCCTTCTCGCCATCAGCAGTAGCATTGTAGTTGACATAGGCATAACCAAGGGAGCGGCGGGTGACGGCGTCACGGCAGACACGGATAGAGGCGACGGCACCGATCTGGGAGAAGAGCTCGAAGAGCATAGCCTCAGTAACGGAGGGGTCAAGCTCGCCGACGTAGAGAGAGGCAGAGTTCTGGGGGTGAGGAGCAGCGGAGGTGGGGGTAGGAGCAGCAGCATCGTCAGCGGCGGCAGCGACACCGGTGTCGACAGCAGGAGCCTTGGCATCACCACCGTTGAGAGAGGTGTTGTTGAGGTCGTTGGCGAGCTGGTCAACAGCGCCGGGAGCAGCGTTGGCGGCCATTGTGAATATCGGTTTTCTAGGGTTGAGTATACCTGCAATGAGCAGTAGGGTTAGCAAATAATCAAGCAAGCGCTTCGACAATTATAGCGAGTTTGAATATTGGGTATGAAAAGAGAGAATGAAAAAAAAATCGATTCATAAAGAGGAGGAGGAATGACAGGGCTAGGCATACCTGTTTAAGAAGCCGACAGTGGAGAAAGTTCGCGTGGTACTTGACCTTGAGCGAACAAAGACGAGGGAGCAACGAACAAAGCGATGCAGCGCGACGATTTGAAGAGTCTTTGATTACGAGAGAATCAAAGCCAGAGTTGAAAGAAGTCGTCGGAGGAGGAAAAGTCACTCGGGCGGTGGGTGTCGCGAGAGAGACAAAGAGAGAAGAGAGGTCGTGAGATGAGGTGAGGGGGTAGTAGTGGTGGTGTTGGTGGGTTGTGTTTTTTGGGGGTTTTTTCAAGTTTTTTTTGTGTTTTTGTTCCGAGTGGAAATGAAGTGAGCAGAAACAGAGAACTAGTACGAAGACCGTACCTCTGGACTAACTCGACTTATATGGGTTTTGGGGTTGAGTAATAAGGTTGGTTTCGTGGTTGAAGAAGGAAGAAAGAGAAATTTCGGTCGTGATAGAATATTTTTTGCTTAGCCTTGGCTGCACTGTAGACCTAAGACCAAGGTACGTACCGTACTGATTTGGTCATGGTAGAGGGGGAGGGATTGGTGGAGTGAACCTGCCAGAATTAATAGGCACCTTGAGGAAGTGGGGTACATGCCAACTGCTAGTGATAGGCTGCTGGGTATCGTAGAGGTCTTTCACTAACAGTTGAGGTAGGCCAGGCCACTGTACAGTGATAAGGAGCGGGCGGTACGTGCCCTACTCACCCATCTCGGCAGTGGCCAAGATACAAGCGGCGCCCCCGGGACTGGAAAAGGCAAACCGTTCAAAATTTTGTCACTTGTTGGAAGCTAGTAAACGGCCCATGCTGTCACTGGTCTGGGCTACGATGTAACAGAGAAAACTGTGTGAGGAAGCAATTTTTGCTTTTGCTGTGTGTGTTTGCTAATCTTGATGATGACGACTTATCTTCAGTGTCTCACTGTTCAAAGTGATCCACTTGCAGTTGAAATGGCATTTTTCTTGTCGCTTCGGCCGGGGTATCACTGTAAAAGCAATGTACGTGCATAACTACGAACCTATTACTAGGCGCTTCATTAGATCCAGCATGCCATGATGCTTGGTTTCTTCACCGCCAAAGATAGGCATACAGATTTATTACGGCGCATAAACTCAACAAGTGGACTTTCCTTCGGGTCAAGGTTCATTTGACAGTGCAATTTCCGGACGTCACATGAGAGGTATAACATGAGAAGGTGCAAGTATTTAGGACTGAAACAATAACAAGCAAAAATTCCTGCCATCGATAGGCGTTCTATGCAGTTACACGGGACTCATGTCCTCTTCAAAACGAAGCCACCCCAACAGGGTTCGAGGTCTATGGGAAGATTGTCACGCAATGTTTATGATGATTGAAAATGTCGTGTCATAAGAAGAGTATGGGCCTGCTTGTAACTAGTTTACTTCCATAATATGACTATTAAATATTTATACACAACCCTCATGATGGAAGCTTTTATTCACCAAGTTAGTAGTTGACTAAATAAGAGTGTTATAGTTTATTGAAACTCATTAACAAAAATACGCATAAATTATCAGATTCCTCAAAACGACAAAGTCCCAAAGGTATGATCGACCAGGTCTTATCATAGAACTAAATCTAGAACTTACCAAGACTTTGTATATCAGCATTTATAATCAGTGTATCATAACAATGTTCAGAACAGCTAAAGATAAAATACTCTCCGCAGAAAAAACGAGAGCAACTTCGCACGCATAGCTCCTCCACAATTGACGCATAATCGTGCTCAGGGTGTGGAACATGGCAATTCGCATTTGCGTATTCCGCAGTTGCTCAGTGTAGTTGGTCTTATCTTATCGCAATCCCGGCTCAGACAAAGGTGAGGTCACCTCAAAGCCCATCCCCACCAAAGCATCTCCAAACTCCGAACGCGGCATTGGGCAAATAGCATCTAAAATAGACCAGGCCGCCGCTCGTCGCTGACTGAGCTTCTAAGCTGAATCTTCTAGAAGCAGACTCGACACATATTCACGACGGGTTCGACGGCTGGGGCCATTCAACCATGATATCGTTGCCTGCCTACCTACCTAAATATACTCTCGACTCACTGAACCTCTTCGCTATCCTCCCGTCCCGTCCCGTTCCCCATCCCGCGTCACAACCATGTTCTCGACATTTACGGGCAACTCGAGGCGCCCCCGAAACGTCAACCTGAGCGGCGCCACCGGGAATCCCTTCACCAATACTTCGTGGTCACCATCAGCTGTCTCGAACACAACAAAGACCGTTTCAAACGCACAGGCCGAGCGTGAGAAACGACAAGCTGATCGGGAAAAACTAAAGGCAGCCGGCAAGATACAGAGAATATGGAGAGGCTACAAAACAAGAGCCGAGCTGAAGGAGTCTCAGAGGAGCGCCTTTGATGCTCTGTATAAATCAGGGTCTGGTCAGAATCCTCCTGAGAGGCTTCCTAAAGCATTCGGACTGCTTCTATCTTTCTTCAGCCTGCGACGAGATGACGACATACAGCGAGCTATTTGTTATGCACATGATACCGAGTCTGTGGACCTCGAAGCAGTTGCTCCTTCAAATGTTTGTCCGTCACAAGTAGGATGCCTTGTTCAACTGCTTTTACAGGCCTTGGACAGGTCTTTATCAATAGGGTACGTGACTTCGTTTATCACTGGTTCCATCTGGCCATTGTCTAACTAGTAAACTGTGCAGAGATCTTTCTGGCGATACCCATCTTCTTTTTAAACTCGTTCTTCGCATCGTTACGAAGAACCCCGATTTACTCGTTCCCGTAATCAACAGTTACTATACAGTAGTCGCAAAGCTATGTCAATTTCAGAATCTCAGTGGACAGTGGCAAGACCTTATGCTTCAAGCCATTTCTAGGCCACTCGAGTCAGTATCTCACCAAGGCAAGTCTCCAGATGAGGATTCTTGGTATTTCACTAACGCTTTCCAGGGACATCACAAGTTTATCGTGCATATGCCTTCTCTTTCTTGGCCAAGAATAATCTGTACTTCTTTGAAGAAAACATCTCCAGCTTATCCAACACGGTCAGAATTTCTGATCTTGCAAAGGCGATAGCCACAGAGCTGTCCTCTCGATCGAGCGAGAAAAACTCTGAGGATGCTCAACTCTGGCAGCTCGCCCACTTCATCGATTTGAGTCGCTTTAACGCCAACAATCGCAGCGGCTCGGGTGTTTTGGAAACGCTTTACGCTCAATTATCTGGCCTGTCTTCTACCATCAGTGTCCGGTTGTTGGCAAAGTCAACAGATAACGACGAGAATAGCTCTGACGAACCTCTGGTGCCATCACTAGACCCTTATATTACTGCTAGACTCATGTCCCTAGTGGATAGCAATGGCATTTCGCAAACGTTACACGAATTCTCAACCAACCTGGCAGGATCCTCTTCGCAAGAGTATCAAAGTACGAGCCTTTTGGCTGGGTATATCTTGACCCTGCTCCGATGCTTCCCTACAAACAGCGACGACATACGCATGCGCCTCTTCCTTGAGGAAATTCCTACGATCTCTGGTGATATCCCAACGATAAAATTTCTCTGGCACATTATGAGCGAAACGGCGGTCTTCGAGAAGTTGAGGACTGAGTCAGAGCCCCCGCTCAACGTCCTCCGCAGGTATCTGGGTGTTACATCAGAGATTTCGAACTCCCTAGAAGAGGAACAGGACTGGCGAATCGCCCTCTTGTTCCTTGAGCTGTACATCTTCATTCTTCGTTTGAGCGATGACGAGGATTTTTTCAGTGGTATTGACCCACGGATCATGGAGCAAAACCAATCAATATCGCGCATTCGATCTTGCAGCCTGTCTCTGGAGGACGTCAAAATGCTGACGAGCTTTCTGAAGAATACTGCATTTGTTCTTCACTACAGAGCCCAAGACCTCTCCAAAACTGCTGATAGCCTCGAGGCAGCCTCCAGATATCGTTTTGATACCTACCTTGGTTCTGGACAACCTTCAGCAATGATACCAGAGGAACCTTCATCCCCCACAAAGAGTCCGACAAGGCTTGATATCGACAGCCTACGAAACATTATCACAACAGCTATGAAGATGCTGTATGAAAGAGATTCGAGGAAGCAATTCTTACCCACAGATCATTGGCTCATGACCTCAAAACTCGACCAGTCAGACTTTGTCAGTGCTGTGATTGCAGAGGAAAAGCGACAGATCGATGAAGACTCTGATGCCAGCGATGAAGGCAGTGAAAATGAGGATGGTCCAGGTCTTTACTCCACCATTGTTGGCCAGCGACTGTCACGACATGCGAGACTCGAGAAACTCAAGGCTCAGCAGATTCGAAGTCAAAGAGAGCGCAAGTTAGCAGAGATGAAGCCCAAGCTGGAGATTCTAAAACACATGCCGTTTGCAGTTCCTTTCGAAACCCGTGTTCAGATCTTTCGTCACTTTATCCAACTAGATCGACTGCAACGAGGGGAAGGCAGCCAGGCATTTTTCGCCGGTCCGTTTGCGAAGCATCATGCACAGATTTCACGTAAGAGTCTCTTTGACGATGCATATAAGCAATTCTACGAGATAGGAGACGATCTGAAGGGCCCTATCCAGATCACATTTGTTGATCAGTTCGGCGCCGCCGAGGCCGGTATCGATGGAGGAGGTGTTACCAAAGAGTTCCTTATCAGCGTAGCGACAGAAGCGTTCAGTGCTGAAGGTGGTAGAGGCATGTTCACTTCGAACGAAAAGGGACTTCTGTACCCTGATCCTACAGCTCTCGACGTTATTCGGGAAGAATTGCGCCATGCCGGAATGACAGAAGCCGACAGCACATTCCGAGATATGATATCAGATTTACTCAGGCGATATGAATTTCTTGGCAGGATCGTGGGCAAATGCATGTATGAGGGCATTCTCGTTGACCTGGCTTTTGCTGGCTTTTTCCTCCTCAAATGGACATCGACAGGGCCCAACGATGAGAATACTTACAAAGGTAGCGTGAATGATCTTCGAGACATGGATGAAGATCTCTACAGAGGCATGCTGCGACTCAAGAACTACCCTGGGGATGTTTCTGAACTGGGAATCGACTTCACCATCGAGGACCAGGTTTCAGACCCTAAAGACCCAGTGAAGACCGTCACCAGAAAGCTTATAGCCAATGGCGATCAGATCCACGTTACGAACGACAACCGCCTCTTGTACATTTCGTATGTCGCTCGGCACCGTTTGGTTGTTCAGCCAGCACCACAGACCTCGGCCTTCTTGCGCGGTTTGAGGTCTATTATCCGCCCGTCGTGGCTGTCTATGTTTAACCAGTCGGAGCTGCAGCGCCTTGTCGGCGGCGACTCATCCGAGATCGATATCGAAGATCTCCGGAAACATACCATCTACGGCGGTTTATACCAAATTGGCGATGACGGTGAAGAGCATGAAACAATCAAGTTGTTCTGGAAAGTCATGCACAGCTTCACAGATGATCAACGCCGTGCCGTTGTCAAATATGTCAGCTCAACGCCCCGGGCCCCTTTGTTGGGCTTCTCACAACTGAAACCATTGTTCAGTATTCGGGATGGGGGGACAGACGAGGAGAGACTGCCCAGTACTAGCACATGTGTTAACCTACTCAAACTACCGAGATATACGTCAGAGGCGACGCTTCGCGAGAAGTTACTTTATGCTATACAGTCAGGGGCAGGTTTCGACCTAAGTTAAGTGGACATTGATCCTTTTCTTTTTTTTCATGAATCAAGAGGCAGATGAGAGGTGTTTTATTTGCGTTCGTATCAGAAATGCATGTTTAGGAGTTATGGCTATGATGAGACAACGGTGGCTTTCGGCATACGTATTGTATGAGCTGGTCATTAGACAGACAATCACACTGAATGTTTTATGGCAAGCTGATAGTTAAACAACATGTTATGTGAATCAAAATCGAGGATCAAATTAGACATGTAGGTGCATGTTGTTTTCCTCGCTCACCAAGGACGTTTGTGCAACTGAATCTTGGCTCGTGCAGAGCTTCTTATTACAAATTAATAAATCATTTCTCATCAACACCCTGGTAGCTCCTGGCTATTAATGTTGGTTTCCGTTTATACAAGTCCATAATCATTTGTCCAAATAAGCCATTGGCCCACGAGAACCTTTGTTCTGTCAGTACGCATAACACTTCAGCTCCGGCGGCATGACTTACCACGACCTTGTCCAATGCTTCTCGTTGTGACTATTAACTGTCTCGTGAATGAGACCGAGCCCGCTCGTTGAGTTCATCAACTGTCGTATACCATCCACGATCTCTTCGTCATCTTCAGTCGTCAAAAGCTGGACGATGAGCCCCATAGGCCATGCCATGCCTGGACCGAGATGAGGGCCACCTGTAGCATTCAGAACAGGTCCTCGGGCATAGTAGGGGTTATATGAGCTTAGCACAAAAGCGCGTGTGTTGTCGTATACGTGCTGCGAGACTGGTTCGTAGCCCAAGTGCGGAATACTCAAGAGGGAAGGAATGTTGGCGTCGTCCATGAGACTATATGATCCGAAGCCATCGATCTCATAAGCATACATCTCTCCGAAAATAGGGTGCTGGATAATAGCATGTTTGTTAATCCCAACTTCGATATTAAAAGCCAGCGCCTCCATCTCCTTGGCAACCTTCTCATCCAAAGGTCTCATTATCTTTGCGCATGCAGTGAGGTAGCGTGAAAACATCATATTGGCAGGGATGAAGTACTGGTAGATGCATGCGTCGTCGGATGGTCGAAAGAAACTGCGCACGAGGCCAATATGACCCTTGACAGGCGCGCCATGGCCATGGTTAGAAACAGTCTCTGAGGCACTGTCAGAATTTCGCAGCCATGTATATGCAGGCTTCTGCACTCTGCCCTGATCATCGTATGTCCCTTCTTGCATATGCTTCGCGACCCTCAAGATTGCCTTGACGGCCTCGACCCAGCCGAACTTGCCAAAGAATTCGCCATCCTCAGTTTCATCGTAGTAGTCCCATGATAACTGAAGAAACGCTGCAAGAGAATCAAGTTCATATTTGCACTCGAAGACGAAACTGGGGTCATATTTCGGACTGACGGTGTCTCGAGGTTGGAGAGATCGTTTCACACGGCGAAGTTTGGCTTCAGGTGGAGGATGGAAGGCATTACAGAAGGGAGATTTTGTTATATATCGGGCTTGGAGGTTTATGGCTCCGCGGAAGAGAGAGGCGATGTCGTTCTCATCGGACGGGGGGCCTCTGTTGGAGGAAAGGATTGACTTGTATGATTGGAGCTGATTTGCACTATCTCTCAGCCAAAGAGCGTTTATATCACCTGTGGTTATAAAAGCCAGCTGATGAAGCGTCAGCGGAGTTTATCGTATGATTTTGGACAAGAAGCATAATTTACCTCTTCATCAGGGTTATCAGCAGAAGTGCCTTGCCATTTCACAGTTGTGTCGAGTGTATTAGGCCATGTGTTGAGAAACAAACGATACAGATCTGGATCACCAATCGCTTGATCCATCTCGTCGTAAATCACCTTCTCAACCGCAGGCACTGAATATGTGCGGCAATCCTTGCCTGGACGCTGAAAAGGATACGCATGGCGCCCTGACGAGAAAGGTTCGTGTCGTTCACGGGCGAACTGTTCGTAGTTGGGGCAATCGGCAGACACGGCTACGATGCTGGCCAGAAGAGGGAGTATGTAGTACATTCTGACGATATTTCCGTCATTTGAAGAGGTTGTTGTTATGCAAACATTTTGGTGTTTCGTGGTTGATTGTCGTTACCAGAAGGAGCCCGGTTTGAATATGCAGGAACCAATGATGATCATTGACCCCTGACTAAAACTAAATGGAAGGGAGTGGGTGGGGCTGAAGCTGGGGAAGCCTGAAGCGTTGGAGATAAACTTCGTAGGCTAATTGAAATAAGGTGATCCCCTTAATCGGTCCAAAATGGGCATTGTTTTTTTATACAGATTGAGATAGGGATATTAATTGTTTATCTTGGGCAAGTTTGTATAAAGCCGATTTATTCCTACGATTGTATCAATAATTAACTTGTCAAATGTAAGATATTTCAATACATAAGGTAGATCAGGTATTTTTGGGACTTCGGCATTTTCTCGCTCGCCCTCGACTAAGAGACCCAATCACCAGGTAATTAGAACACCACTGATGGCCACGTCCTATACTAAATATTCCAACGCATGTTATCAAGAGTCTATGTAAGTGTATCATTGTAAATCGATAAGAATACTTACGTTTCACTTCGAGATTCACGCTACATCTGTTGGTTAACTCCTCAAAGCCAAGTCTCCGCAACAAGACATTCAGAGTCGCCTATACAATATCATATCCAGATCCCAGTGATTCATGCGTAGAGCTTGTGAATACCGTGAGATATTGCCCTTCTCGTATCACTGTTAGCTTTCGTGTATCTACGTATATAAGAGCTCAGGCTTGTGGTACGACGAATGTGCCTACACACAAGACCACAAGCCGCACAGCAGCACATAATGACATTGCCCAACATGTTTAACACTTCTCTACCTGCTAACTTCTTTATCAAAGAAGACTGTCTCAAGTTAATGCATACATGTTTTAACCGGTACTTCTTCATCTGCCCATACGCTATGGTTTATACATATCCAACTCCTATCCTGGTTGCCTTTGACGGAACTATAGTCCTCTGGGCTCAGAGTACGACTTCATTCGTTGAATGCGTTGATATGACTCACCACCGGATTCATCAAGAGTTGATGGAGTTGGCAGAAAGCGGTGCACGTTGGGTTGAGTACCAATCCATCAGATATGGGTTCTCGAAGTTGGCAGTGATGCCAGAGTGCTCGAACTCAAGATTTCCAGACGAAAACGCTCAAGATTGGGATTGGTCTGATGGTGCATCAGCAATGTGGTGCAACCAGGTAAATTGAGGTGCAAGGAAACCAGCTATACTGCAGCACGTCCTACACGATCAAGTATTAATACGACAACTCATCCGACATCTGTCTGTTAGAATTCCAGGCAACGAAAGGGTTATGATAAAGCTACAATGAACCTCGGGTCTAGGGTAGTCAACCAGTTGAGGCACAGTACCTACATACCTTATTAGTATATAATTCAAAGACAGCCCGCCTACCATTTTGAAAAGAAATGAGTAATACACTAATGCTGAATGAAAGCGTCACGTATTCTCATGCGTAGTCTCGTTATCTAGCTCGCCGGCTTAATCACCCTCCAACGAAAGCCGGACGGTATAACAACAACCAAGCCAAGTACACTCGTTCGAGGGCAAATGAACATTGAATTTTAAATTAAGAAAGTCTCACAACATTGTATAGTAGACCGGAAAAGCAAGCCAATCCCTGTGTAACATTGGTATATCAAGTCATACGCTGGCACACCGGACGACCTCAACACGTGAGTGGGAAATTGCTGCAGACTACCGATGTAGTATATAATACTGATGACGGTGAAGCAAATCCACGCCGAAACAATGCGTAGATAGCCCAGGACCCTGAGCCGCGGCAAAGAACAGCGTTAAGCCGAAAGAAAGCATCGGCCAGAAGCACCCGAATACCGAACGCTTGGGGCATGAAGTTGACGTAATTGTTCGTGGGCCCCGGCATCATGACAAGATAATGCATTCAAAACTTCAAGCACGTATTATAGCCACTGGAGCTTTCTGGGGATGTTCGAACAGGGACACTTTCAGACCTCAGTTCTAAGTGACAGAAATAATTACCTAGACAAGCTTAGGGTAGGCACCGGGGTTATGTACTTTAGGATGATTTAGTCTACAGATTCTTGGACGCATTCGTCAGGTATTGGATGTCATATTTCATCGCGACAGACTCCAAAGGTGAGCTGCCAATTGGTGGTTGTTTAACCTTATAGGCGGCAGTCATCCCCATAATCAATATAGCTCATATGTATCAGATAGTGTCACCCAAAAGCATATGCTGAAACTGACATTCTTCGTTATCACCATCCATCAAGTATGATGGCATTTGCACATGCTAGGAGCCCACTGGATACATCCAACCATTGTATAAGGTACCCCAGGTCCACACCAATGCGGATCAGCCGAGTACCAACCGCGATTTTAGACGTTGAGTGACCGTAGGTAGTTCCATGGCCTCGGTTATCCAAAAAACCGAGAGCCGGTGAGAGCCTTGACAAACCCTAGGTGCTGCAGCTGCAATACTCTACCTATGAGAGAGGAGATGATACTTTGCTGTAAAGAGATTTGTCGAGACAGAGAATCCCACCTCCCACTCTCTGATAGATCTGGTATCTAACTACCAAGGTAGAGGCCCGAGGATAATTAACGAGCCGAAAAAGGAGCCCCAAGCTCTAAAGAGATACCCGCCAAAAGAGCCAATTACCATCCAGTTAATTGTCAAAAAGAAGCCTCTCTTGGATCCAAAAGCGGTAATAGCCACCCCGGCGATCGTGCCTTCCCCACTATCGGCCCTCTCTACTCGCACCACGAAAGAAAGAAAGAAAGAGTCAACGACGGCAGAAAGTTGCTTAGTTGCCGCCGGCGCAAGGACATTTCTTCCCTCCTTGAGCTTCTCCAAAAGGAATCCTTTTCCCCTTTGCTTTCCCTCACCTCGAGTCTCACTCACTCATCCATCGCCAATCCTGCTGCCGGTGGCTGGACTTCCAATTCGCCTTCAGCTCTATATCGTCATCATGTCCGCCCCACGACCAGTTTCGCGATGCCTCCAGCGCAGTTCGTGGGTGCTTTCTCGCTCCCAAGTTCGTCCCGTCCGATCTAACCTCTCTATCGCCACAATCTCAGCTACATCCTCTATCACAAGAAGGACGTCCACGACAGTATGGTGTGGCGGAAGAGTTCCAATGGCCTCTCGTGCCTTTAGCACTACCTCTAGACTTCGAGACGATGACCAAGATTTCGACCCCGCGAGCGTCGAGCGAGAGTCCGACCAAGTTGATGTCTGTATTGTAGGAGCTGGTCCTGCTGGACTCAGCGCCGCTATTCGTCTCAAGCAGCTTGCTAACGAAGCTGGAAACGAGGATTTTCGGGTCCTTGTCCTGGAAAAGGCTGGCGACCTCGGCGCTCACATCCTCTCTGGAGCTGTGATCCAGCCCACCTCCATCAACGAACTTATCCCTGACTGGCTCGACGAGGACAATCCCAATCGTTTCGAACATGCCACTCCTGCTGGCACCGACCGTATGCGATTCCTCACCAAGAACTCTGCTATACCCATTCCAGCGCCTCCTCAAATGACCAACCATGGAAATTACATTGTTAGCTTGAATCAATTCGTAAAATGGCTTGGAGAGCGGGCTGAAGAGATTGGTGTTGAGGTTTACCCTGGTTTCGCTGCCTCTGAGGTCGTTTATGCTTCAGATGGTTCAGTTAAGGGTGTCGCCACCAACGACCTTGGGGTTGGTCGTGATGGCAAGCCTAAGGAAACGTTTGAGCGAGGCATGGAGTTTCATGCGAGAGTGACCATGTTTGGCGAGGGATGTCATGGAAGCCTGAGCAAGCAGGTTATCAACAAATTTGATCTGCGCAGGGACAGCCAGCATCAAACTTACGGCCTTGGTGTCAAAGAGGTCTGGGAGATTGATCCTGCCAAGTTTGAAAAGGGTCTAGTTGTGCATTCAATGGGTTACCCGCTACCCAAAGATGTGTACGGCGGCTCTTTCATGTACCACTTTGGCGAGAATCTTGTTCAGATTGGTCTCGTCGTCTCACTTGATTACTCGAACCCTTGGATGTCCCCTTACCAGGAGTTCCAGAAGCTGAAGCGGCATCCCTTGTTCCGTGATGTCCTCGAGGGCGGCAAGTGCATCTCGTATGGTGCTCGAGCTCTTATTGAGGGTGGTTTCCAGTCTATTCCCAAGGTCGCTTTCCCAGGCGGTGCGCTCATTGGTGACTCGGCTGGCTTTGTCAACGTTCCAAAGGTCAAGGGCACTCACAATGCCATGAAGTCAGGCATGCTTGCCGCCGAGGCAGCATGGACTGCTATTAGCGAAGAGGCCGACGAAGGCACAGTATTTTTGTACGACTACGAGAACAAGTTGAGAGATTCTCCCATCTGGAAGGAACTCAAGGAGGTGCGCAACATGCGACCATCTTTCCACACTCCTCTCGGCCTTTATGGCGGTATTGTGTACTCTGGCCTCGAGGCCTATGTCTTCAAGGGTCGTGTTCCTTGGACACTTAAACATAAGACTCCCGACCACGCTGCTACCCTTCCTGCCGATAAGGTCCCCAAGATCGAGTACGAGAAGCCTGATGGCAAGCTCACTTTTGATATCTTGACAAGTGTTTCTCGAACAGGAACCAACCATGAGGAGGACCAACCCGTTCACTTACAGGTCAAGGACTGGGATGCTCATACCGAGTCAACATACCCTCCTTTCAAGGGTCTTGAGAACCGATTCTGCCCAGCTGGCGTTTACGAGTACGTTGAGGACGAGTCAAAGCCTCACGGCGTGCGCTTCCAAATTAATGCACAGAAGTAAGTCCCAAAGCTTTTGCTACAGCTTTCTTAAGTTGAGAACCGGCTCTGACAACACAACAGCTGCATCCACTGCAAGACATGTGATATCAAGGCTCCTCACCAGGACATCAACTGGCAGGTGCCCCAAGGAGGTGAAGGTCCTAAATACTACATGACCTAGGGAAACCAAATATTTGCTCTCTTGGAAGTAACACTTTTTACGTTATGTTTTCTGTACGATACCTTGTTTATATACCTTGATGCATCATTGGCGCATTGGGTACAGTCAATTGCTATGAAGGCCGAGAGTAAGAGATGGGAAGGTTTGACATTTGGAGCATATTGGAGTCAAGGTACAAATGCAAAAATATGACGTTTTGGTACGGAGTGAAGATCTAGACGATAACATGGGCAGGCGACTGAAAGTATGCTGAAATAGCACAGAGGTGCTTGTTCTTTAGCTAGAAGCAATCGAGATGCTGTCGTTGCGGAGGAGGTCACTTGAGCCGCATGCACTTGAGCTTATCAGCATGTGAACAAAGAGGAATGGCGAGAGCCTAGAGCGTCCCATGTGGAGAGCCTAGTCCTTGCGGATTCCGCGGCTACGTCTCTTGACACATGCGGATATTTCTTTGAATAACAACATGACAATTCCAATCGCCAGACGATTAATAAATCACATATGTGAGGCAATAGGCCAATAACGAAGTATCCAAGCCATTCAAGTGTCATGACAAAGGGATCAAGGCTTATCTATTCTGTGATCCAGTTGAGGACTGAATAGAGATAGCTTTGCGCCCCACAAAAGAAGAGCAATCTTGTTAGCAAACTTTGAAGTGTGGAGTCGGTTCGTGCCCCTCGGGGAGCAAGAAAACACCGGACCTTAATATAGGGTGTAAAAATAAACTTAGCAAAGAGCCTCCTAAGCTTAGGCTAGATTTACCTAAATATTTTTTATTACTTAGGGTCAAGGGTCTGTATTTTCTTTCCTCCCCTAGGTGCCCCAGCCAAATTTGCCCATGGATCAAGAGGCTAGCGAGACATGGCGGATCCTGGTAGAACCATGAAGAAGATCAAATGAGGCTGGTTGGTTCCTCTGAGCCTTGAGGATGAACAGTCTGTGGAGTTGCTGTCCAAACCCGGGCTAGGACTATGATAAGTCGTGGGACCAGGAAATTGTTAGTGAGGTACTTGTGTCAGCAAGCCCCCGGTAATTTAACGCGTTCTCGTAAGAGGCAACCATACTTGGCGATCCTTGACAATCAAAATTTTCGTGTCACCACTTGGTGTCAAATTGACGGTGGCATCCTGGAACGTGTCCTCAATGCAGACCGGGGTTCCCAAGAGTCACGACATGCAGGCTTCCAAAGTCTAGCCCAGATGTCGGGAGCCATGCATCACTCTACACTCAGTCTCGCATGACAAGAAAACGGTGCAAAAGCTGGTGGACGCAACGTGATAAATACAGAATGCATCAGTGTGCAAGAGTGAACAATCATGACGACTGCATCATTTATAGCGGTTGCCAGCAAGTCATTGTACTGAGTACATGATGCAAGAAGCCAGTCAGTGGGCGCACAGATCCAGCCTCCCTGGCATTGCGAAGGGGGGACAGTTTGCTGGCTAACTGCTTCCTGGTTGGCCACAGTTGAATGACTCACAGAGTCAGCGGGCGGTTGGGCTCAATATGAGAGGGCACAAAAAAGGGAAACCCCGGTAACCTGCCTTTTACTTCCTTGTCGCTCGCTGACTGGACACGGGAATGGCAAAATTCGAGAAAATTTTCTGCTGTGCGGAGTGTCCGTTAATCAGGCTTTGTGCAGCCATTCAGTCGCGTGACATGTTGACCGAGCCATATTCTTGTTGCAGGTAATGGATGGGGTGACTTTGCTGATGAGACGCTTGCGAGACGACTATCGCAGTGAAATGAGCGCGATTCAAACGCCCTTGCTCGAGAAGCCGGGGTGACGACGCGCAGTAAAGGAGGGCGCGTGGGCTGAGCAAAAGAGTCAGTGAACTGTGAAGGGGGCAGAGCGTGTTTCAGGGTCCCATCGTGTTGGTGGTTAGGCAAGAGTCGGTGGTTGGGTTGTGTTGGAAGAAAAAAGTCCCACGGGGGGCGAGTAAAGGGTTTGACAGGGCGGAGCATGCCTAGAACCAGAGTTAGTGGTGCCCGCTCCGATAAGGAAGCGACGGGGATACGCGACTGCGATTGGGGCAACAGAGGCGATCTTGGTGCGCCAACGAGCGAGAGCAATCAGAGTCAGACGCTGATGAGAGGTGGGAGGAGTCAATCTGAATGAGTGGAAAGCCTAAAAAGCAACCAACCGCGCCAGCACGCCTAGTCGGACTAGCCCCCTGGTCCATAATTCCAGTCCGTATCCGAGGTCCACAGGCCTGCGAGTCTCCATGGATAGGCGCTGTGACGCTGTTGTCGCCGCCGGATTGCGTGCTGATGCCGTCGTGTTATCCGGCTTGAGTCAAGCCAGTCCAGGTCGAGGCAGGCTCTGCTCGTCGATGGGTCTCGGTGCCCGCCTTTGCTGTCTTTCGTGATCGTTCCCGTCGGTATTTGGCATCGTTTTCGTCCATCTCGACTCGGTCGGTACCGGTTCACGTCGTCCTTCGCTCTCGTTTCATTCTATATCGTGTGTTGCCTTACTCATCTTCAGGGTTATCGCCGTCGTTCGTTATCGAAATCGATCCAACATTTCGTAGCTGGTGATTCACTTGCAGATTGCAGTTGTGGGTTGTTGGAGAGGAGGAGGTGAGAGGTGAGAGGCAAGGTGATGGAGGGACAGAAAATAAAGCGCAGGGAAAGGGATGACGACAGCAAAAAACTCGCAGCCAGGAAAGGAGGGAAACTAGTCACGCCAAGCTTTGGAAGAAATAATCCCGATACTTGTGAACGGTTATGAGAAAAAAAGACACGCGATTGTAGTGTATGTTGTGACTTACTGTTGGTTAGTGCTGCTTGGGTGATTTTGTCACTTCAGCTCATCTCACCTAAAGCTTGGGATGTGGCTCGCTTAAATCGTTGCTTACAATATGTATTTCGATCCGCGTACACGTCTTGGCTTCCCTGGGTGTGTTCTCTTGTGACTGAAATAAGAGCAAGCAGCGCTGGCGAGGGTGAGAGCGTGCCACTATTGCCCACATGGACGGCCTGTATTGGGCAGCCTGTTAGTGGCGACCCTAAATCCTAGGGGCTCGCAACTCCAGTGCATCAGAGCGTACAGCGCCTAAGTGCAGAGCAACGGAAGTTTAGGCGCAGGTCAGGTCGTGTTGCTAAGTTAAAACAGATGTACCGATACATGTGTACATGGACTTTGAGTTTGCTATAGCGACACTTCAGGGGCTCAATGCTGAGACTGGGGTGAGTGGGTGGGAAAAAAGGAGATAAAATCAGCGTCGCAAGAGTGTTTGATTGGATCAACTCAGCTTAGTGCGGAGACTAGCGCACGCCAAGCCTGCCAGCGTCGACGCCACAGGTAGTGTTGTTGCCTGGGGTGTCCTGCCTGAGCAGCCTTTGCTCAAAATTATAAAGAGCCAGCCCTCCCCTCGCCCGCCTGTTTCGAAAGACCTGCGCGGAAGTCCCGACTGACGGCCCTACGTACCAACCACTTACGTCCGGCCTCTCTTTTCATTTTTGATCCCCCCCCCACGACGTCACACCCCACATCTACACTTTTCACATCCCAATCTGTGTGGACAATTACCATCTTGTACTATCTCAGTCTGAGCCTTGAATCACCTCAGGCTTTGTCTCTCCTCTTCACTTTGTCACTATCACGACCCTGCTGTTGCAGACGTGATCACACTCTCTAAGTCACAGCCCTTGCGACCAGATTGCAAGAACTGAAAAACGTTGCTTGCCCTCTTCGCTCCTTGCGCGCAATCGACATCGTTGAACCCGACCAAGACCGGAACAAAGCGATACCCGCCGACACCGTCATCGTCACACATCGAGTCGTTGCGCTATTGTAGACAACAATAGAAAGAAAGAAAAAAGAAGCTGTCGTGAAGTGAAAGAAGCTTTTGGTCTTCTAAAACTATAATAACCTGACCGATATATCGAATATCGATTTGGGGAAAAGGCCACTGTCTTTCTACCATCTTCCAAATTGTTCCGCATCGAAGCTTTGAATTCGAAGCTTTGTTTTAAAGAACAAAACTTTGCTGGGCCAGTTTCTTTGTAGGGGACACATTCACTTGTTTCTCTCCCACGATTGGTAGGTGGCCCTTCTGATTCACTGCACAGCCCCGCTACCCCCGCCTATAAAAGGCCTACTTCTCCTCCCTTTTTTCAACTTCACTCTCGCAACACCACAACGGCGCTACACTTGTGTTACCCGTTGCATCTTCACCATCGCATCTACCTTCCAGGGTAGGATGCACGCTCTTTTCATTTGATGCGCGGTGCTAACTTGGGTCCTGTTCTAGATCTGTTCAGCGATTTTTTTTTAAAACCGTTGACACATCTCGATACCGACTCCAATCATGGAAGGCATCCAGACACACCCATCGAATGCGGCGCAAGCCAAGGCGTTCACGGCGCCAGGATCGTTGTCGTTCCCCGGAGCCACCAACGAGCTGACACCCCCGCCCGTCGGCACTGGTGATGCTGCTCAGCGACCTGCCCTCAACGGCCAGCAGGCGGCAAATGGCAATGGGGTGGCACCCGCAACGCCTGTCGCGACGCCTGCTGCCACTCAAGGACCTAGTGGAATTACTCCCACTCTACAGTATGTATCCTCCTGAGTGACCTTTTTATGCTCAGCGAGGCTTATATGGCAAACTTTAAAGGAACATCGTGGCTACAGTGAACTTGGACTGCCGCTTGGACCTCAAGACTATTGCTCTGCATGCTCGTAACGCAGAGTATAACCCTAAGGTACTACAGATCTGGCGTGCATACTGAGTAAGAAACACGTTGCTAACAGAAAAAGCGTTTCGCCGCTGTCATCATGCGAATCCGCGAGCCCAAGACCACCGCTCTGATCTTCGCTTCCGGCAAGATGGTCGTCACTGGTGCCAAGTCTGAGGACGATTCGAAGCTCGCTTCAAGAAAGTACGCTCGTATCATTCAGAAGCTTGGATTTAATGCCAAGTTCACCGACTTCAAGATTCAGAACATCGTCGGCTCTTGCGATATCAAGTTCCCTATCCGACTCGAGGGTTTGGCAT